GGATGCCTAATTTGAAGAAAATGAAAAGAATATGGCCTGTTTTAATTGATAAAGTTCCTAGATAATTCAAAATTAGGCATCTTTGAGCGAAGACAAAAACATGGGGAATTGTGTTTGAGTATCAAGCACTCAGTTCTCAGTGATTGATAGCATTAGTTTAGATCTTGCTTTATGTAGCTTGAAGGGCTTCCTGCTGGGTTCTGAAATGAAAATAATATCAAATGAGTATTTTACAAGATGATTTCCAGCTTGTGATTAATAATAATGTAGCTACTCATGCAAAGTGGTCATCAGCAAAACACCGATGTGCTATTCGCACTTTAATCACAGGCTTCGTCACAGTCTATCAACACAGTCTCCTCTTTGTGTCTACGTTTTGTTTTCTTCGATTAGAAAAATGAGAGAAAGATGATCTGTTGCTTTCAAAATTAAATTCATTTAAAACTGTATTGCAAAATCCTGTTAATTTGTTTGTTGGCTTTGTAATCTTTATGAAATAAAACCTACCGGAAACATCATTTTTTTAATCAAGTGAATTGGAAATCTATAAGTTGTTTGGACATCAGGTTGAGTAAGCTGGGTAAGAAAGTGGTATATTGGAAAGACAGGAGCATTGTGGGTTTAAATGCTCACGCCCCCCCTATTGAGATCTGAGTGGCCTCTGATATGTCACATTACTTCCCTGGGACTAAGCTTTTCATCTATAAATTGAGTGAATCTTTCAAATTCAGACTCTAGGAACTTATTAATTGACAGTACAGCACTATCAATTAACAGTTCTTCAAAGGTTCTATCTCCTTGAGTCAGTAACTTAAACTTTTTGATTCTTCTTTTAATCACCGTAAAGTAGGTATTATTATAGTACAAATTTCCCACAGTTTGGGAGACAATTAAAATAAAATACATATAAAATAGATAGCAACAATATTTACAAGTATTAGTGCTGGTTGTTGATGACCTCTGCCTGCTGATATGTAATTTTTGATCTTTTCATCAGATTAAATGAATAAAAAGGAATTTGGAAGCAATAATTTTGTGAATAAAAAATGGCCAAACCTACCATTTCCCTAAAATTAGTGACAGAAAAGGCTAAATTTGACATTTCTATGGCAGAAAGTCTTGTAACTTTGATTATTGATAATCTACCTGTTTGCACATTCTTGATTATTATATTCTGTGTTAGCGTGGGAAAATGAGTGACAGACAAAAAGCTCACAAAATGTACCGAGACCAAGCAATCATTTAACAAATACACTGAACTCACTAAATGCTGAGTACTCTTCCAGTTCTGTTGGCCACCTAGAGGGCTATGCAACTTGTCTCCATGGGGAAGATGAAACGCATCACTGAGATAACGTATAAAAAGCAACATGTCAACAAGTGCAAATCGATAGCCTATAAAATGAGTGCCTAAGTGCTGAGGGGATCCTTTGGAAAGCTTTCTTCAAAGCAGTAAGATAAACTAAAAGTAGTCGTGGTGTTCACTAGGAAAGACGAAGAATACAAAAATTCAATCACAGAGCGCCAAGGGCCAGACCAACACACAGGAAAACAGAGTTTGTACACATTAGAATTTCTTCTCCTTTTTTTTTCCAAATTTTGTTTTGGTCTTGTTTTAAATTAATGTACAACAGTGATTTATCAATCACTTCTGTATACCATGTCCCTATCTTGAACCTCTTTGCACATTGTCAAAAATTCATTTTAGAACATTTAAATCATTATTGAGGGATAATTTACATACAAGAAAATACATTCAGAATCCATTTTTAAAAGAATAAGTTTCTCAAAAAATGATGAAAGCATTAAAGAAAATAGCTTGTTTTCATATTATACATCCCAGTAACAGCAGAGTTTCAAAACAAAATAATTAAATTCTTTGAAAATCACATAGGCAGGTGTTGAACAATGAGAACACATGGACACAGGGAGGGAAGCACTACACACTGGGGTCTGTTGGAGGGGATAGGGGAGGGACAGCAGGGGGTGGAGAGTTGGGGAGAGATAGCATGGGGAGAAATGCCAGATATAGGTGAGGGGGAGGAAGGCAGCAAAACACACTGCCACGTGTGTACCTATGCAACTATCTTGCATGTTCTTCACATGTACCCCAAAACCTAAAATGCAATAAAAAATTAAAAAAATATATTGATTTTAGTAAAAAACATCACTTACTATCTAAGAGTATTTTAAATAATTGTCCTTTTGTTTTCATTGTATTTTCATTTAATAACATATTTGGAGAGAGATGAGTGAAAAATTGTTTAAAGCATGTTTTTTCATAATGAAAGTTGATGTTAGGATACAGTTTCAAACCAATGTCATGGAATTGGTACTTCTTATGACCCCTGATAGACTTCTCTTCCAGGAGAATACATGCATTTAATTTTATATATCCTTTTAGAGAAAACAAATTTACACAATTTTTGTATGATTATTCAAACAACTTGTACAAAACAGTTGGATTTCCCCCCCCCCCACCCCCCACAACATGCACAAAAGTCTGTTAACTTGGATGTGATGCAGAGCACACAGGATTGTATTACGATTCCTTAAACACAGGAGCTGGAAGGCAGTGCTTATGTTTGATGCCATAGATGTTATTGTACTATCAAAACCTAATTGGTTGGATTAATTGATTCATTTTTAACTCAGCTACATGAGGTTATGGAAGAAGAGATAAGAGTTACACAAATCTATCACATGCAATAACAACCTCACAGGCATTAGCTATGTGAATTGATCCTTCTATATTGTAGATTTTTCCCTCAGCCTATAGTACTTCAGTCACTGACTGACAAGCTTCATGAATTTCCCTGCTCTGGTCACACAGCAGATTGTTTATAAGGTAAAGCTAATTATCTTGATTGGATGTAATGTTGCTGCCTTTCTTGGATACAAGAACATGTTAAATCAGAATAGAATAGGTGGTAATCTTTTCATGAAGAGAATACAGTCTTCTTGCTTCGTACCTGTAGTACCAAATCCCATGCCTGGCACAACAGAGATACTCAAATAAAATCCGTGAAATGAATAACAGGGCTAATGAATAAACAGATGAACAAAGGTCAGTGAAAATCATGACTGCTGAAAAGAAAATACACAAGACTTACCCCTTCTGAGGAGGGATCAATAGCATCATTTCTGTTTAATAAAATAAAGCCATTTTATAAAGCAAGTAGCTATACTGACTTATTTTCACTTTTAAAATAGAAAGTGGCAGAACCAAAGTATGAGAAGTGGCACTAAGTCACAGATGAGTGCTTCCAAAGCAAGTAGCTTTAAAAAATTTCTCACTTCAAAGCCAGTTTGGAAGCTTAGAAATTATGGTTATAAACTCTTCCCTGTCATCTGGTCCAGTAGTATACGGCTTCTTTTAATATCCTTCATGGCTGCCAAAGGACCAAAAAAGCTTTACCACTCATGAAAACAGGTTTGTTTATAAGATAAGTGATAGGATAGTTTCCAGAAGATCTTCAAAGAAAATAGGAAGTAGAAAAGATTTTGGCATGAATAAAAACAATTTGCATCTGGAAGGTAATAGGTTAATAAGTAACTTGGATCAACAAATACAAAAATTTTAGATGTGTGTGCGTTGAGTGGGTGTGGATACTTACAGGTATCTGATAGCATCAGCATAACACTCCTGTTTTGAATTGCAGTATGGTCGTTTAGTGTGTCATATATACATCTCTTTGTTTAAGGATTGGTTTTGAAGTGCTACTTTCTAGTCCAAGGCATGTGTTCAACTTGAACCCTTTGTCATCTTGGTATTCTAGCTGAAATGGCATAATAGGATATCATACTGTTGTGCCTTTTAACAAAGTCTCCACACTGACTTCTGGGAATACATAAACTCTAATCACAGGTGGATGAGGATTTATTATTTTGTTGCTTGTTAAAATCAGTTTTTGCACCTGTGTCCACGAATCTTCAGAACATAGTTATTCACAAGTCTCCCTACAGACTTAAAATAACCTTTAAGCCTTTTCTGTGCACTACTTAGAAAATAATAGTAATATATTTGTTTTTGTATATGTATTACTAAATACAGTTGTTACAGTTATAAAACAATCTAATAGTTTTAAAAGCTACCCTGGGAAAACCAACGAGCAATTCTATTCATTAGTATCATCCTAATCTTCTATTGAAGTGTTTCTTATGCATCAGGTAACAGTCCAATAAAGGTTACTGATTACACATAGGTTTTTCTCTGTATAAATGAAAGTCAAGCATGCTAATTGAGTTTAAACGCCATATTTGCTCATGGGTGTAAACAACTGAATCATTAAATATGTGGTACATTGCCCTCAAATTAGCTGTCTAATGACTTTCTTGGGTCTGGTCATTCCTTTGTGTACAGACTCTGGCTACAATGCATTTAAATTGGTCACTGTCTTATAGTCTGTATGTTGATATCAATAATGGTGGCTGATGAATTTACACCTTACATATGTCCCTCAAAGTTGTTTCTCACAGATTATCCTAGAGAGGTGACCCAGTATTTATATCAGGAATATTGACATTGGCTGGAGCTTTGGAAGTTGCAAAGGAAATTTTCCTTGACCCACAATCTTGTGGATTTTGCTCTAACTGCTGACAGGTTTTGCCCTGTTGCATCTCATTGCCCAGCTAGCTTGGGGTATTCTGGGTAAAGTCAGAAAAATGCTCTGAGTATTCCAACTGGTCATCTACCTGAAGGAGAGGTGGTATATACTATAGCATGTGTAAGTTTTAATATCAGTAACATTCATGAATAAGTGATGGCTTGAGTAGATCAATAACAACATGAAGAGGAACATACTCTTTGCAAAAACACCTCCTGTAGCACATAAACTTCAGTCTTCCAGTTTTAATGTTTATCAGCATCTTGAGAGGCATTTATAGCCCCTCACACACTCCTTTATGATTCCCTTATTGATTAAGTTGTGATGCCTCCTGGACCTAGGACACGGTTCACTATTTTTCAATTAAAATGGAGAAATGTCTTCTTGTTGCAGGTTCTTTTCAAGCAGTTGGCTTGTGGGACTCTGAGAGATGCTGCTGCCCATGACGTGTTGGAATTATCATGATCAACTACTCAGCTTGGATTTCACCCAGCGGCCAAGAGCTTTGTGTGGGAGACAGCAAGGGTTGGATTTTTAAAAAGAGTAAACCAGGTAAGGTTCAAGAATGACATCTGATCATTTATCACTTGCTCTAAGGACTTTAGTGTGCTGCCAAGGTATATGAATAATGTATAGCTTTTCTATTTGTTTTCTAAGTCCACTGAGCAGGTTGTTAAAGAATGGGGATCCCTTGGATTTAGGAGAATGCATATAGTAATAATTGAGTCCCTTTACTCTCAAGAGGAGAAAGGAGCTATTTTAAGATACACATAATGCTGGCATATGAATACTATAAAGGCCACTACTATAAAGGTTTCCTCTTTAATTATTCTCAACTCTAATGGCATAAGCAGTTGTACTTCTGAAGGTGCAGTAAAAAAAGTGATGGCGTTAAGCATTTATATTTTACACAATATAGAAGTGAATATCATTTTATGGCACATGATCTTATAAATATGCTTCAAAGATACTCCAATTTTCTGAAGATTATACCATTGTTCTGCCTTTTATTTCTTTGAACGTATTTATCATTCTAAGTCTATTCACCTGTTATTTAAGATGGCAATACAGTGACATACTCTATTATTTTGGCTCTGAGGATTTAAAATATTGCACTCTTACTCAAGTACTCTTTTATCTACTTTTTCTATTACATCCTGGAAACTCTTCTCAACTATTATCCATATTTTGGTCAGATCTTCTTATCTTTCTCTTTAACTCTCTTCCTACCCTAAAACATAAATTTGTTATTAATAATTCTTCAGGTAATTACCTGAAGAAACTACAATCTATTCTTGTCTTCTAAGACCATCAAAACTTTCACAGTTTCTTTGAATTTTATGCATTGCAAAGCAAGATTATCCTTAAGTTCAAGTATAGAAACAGAAAAAAGCTACATAAAATCTCTATTTAGAAGCAATGAATGGAGATTATTCTATGTCACTAATGCTTGAGCACTTTAAACTTTTGAAAAATACAGCTCTTGTACTTTCTGAAAATAAAGTAAATGAAATTCAGTCAGTAAATTATATCCTGACATAATTAAGTGGATATAAAGGCTTCTGAAGTGTTTAAAAACAATCTTTTAAAATTTAATAAACATAAACTTTCAATTCATTAATGACTTACTTGCATATACAATTTCATGAGAGTATAAAACCCAAATAGCTACAAATTTAAAAATTTTTTGAAATGGTGTAGATTACCAATCTCATGGCAGAAATGTTTATTTGATTAACTGTGCTGGTGAATAATGTTTTTGTCCTGTTTAGTGGCAAAGTGGATTACTCACATTTAGAAGCGTTCTGACAGTCTATAAATAAAAGAGACATCAAAATGTGGGATACATTAGAAGAAAGTTCAACCTGTAATTCTATGCTTCATAGCATTAGCATCTAACACATAATTGTAGCAAAAATACTTTGAGATAGACTTCCATAGTCTTAAACCTTTAAGTGTTAGAATTAATCCTAATTATTTCAATATTTACAACAAAATTGGATTACATGTCAAAACCTCAGAGTTAGAAAGAAAAACTTTTTAAAAGGGAGATAAAATTAAGGCTGTTTTGAAGGTGAATAATCATAAGGTTATGCAGGTAATAATTACCTTGTTGCAAAAGCTCTTCTGTTTGTGAGATGTGCACTTTCTTTAGAATACTTTATCTTTGTGAACTGTATAATTCATTAGTATGGGGAAAATGGACACATAATTTTGATCCAAGTATTATACCACGAAACTTCTCTTCACATAGCCCTTCCAAATGAATCCTGCTGATCAGCATGTACATGGATAGCCCATTCTACTTTTCTGTATACAAACATAGGATTTCGAAGTGTCCTCTGGAATATAAAAGATTTGACAGTGAATTAACATGTTTTCCCACTTAAAGATGAAATTTGTTTTGAAGTGAACATAAATTTTATATATTATGGTTTTATAGTTTACATTAGTTAGAAATTTATTTGTGTTCTCTGTTGTATGAATGGCAGTTACATTATTTTATGATGATGTATGTTAGCTTTTCCATAAAGTAAAAAGGGTGTCAAGGTGTCCTAATTCTGTTTCTCAGAAGTTTATAACAAAGCTATAAATATTTGTACTGTTACTAAGCTTAGAAGCAATTTTTCTTTCTTAAAGCATTTTTAAGGTAAAGATTTGCCAAGCTTAGGATTATATTACTCTGCTCATACAAAGAAACAATACTAAGCTATAAAGGCAGGCTATAAAACATGAGATCTCTGAAAACATTTCTGATAATAGTATGCCCCATATAATGGGCTATGCCTTCCCCAAGGTGATTCATGAAAAACATTTAAATAGCACCTGTGTATGTAATACATCCCTTGCTCTGTTCAGAGACCAATGGGCATTCTCACTTGTGCAACTCTTCACATTCTGAAATAAAATCTTGAGAATTTAGTGAGGTAGCTGATTCCCTCATCAAAAATCTCATGTGAATCTTAAATACCTTCTGGCTGCATCTTTATTTAACCTTTAAACACGTTTTAAAAGCCTAACACATGCAAAACAGTATGTGGCCAGAAACAAATTAGCAACCTCACTGCCCTGTCCTCAAGTAGTTCACACCTACCACCCCACCCCCAGAAAAAACAAAGAAAACACACACACACAAGCCATAGGTACAGACACATGAACAGCTGTTTCAGGACAAACGAATTGAGAGCTTTAATAACATATTCCAAGCAAAATTATCCAGAAATTCAGATGAAGGACTGTTAAAACTGAGGAATATTAAAAAGCGTGAAGCTTAAGAGGCATTTCAGCTGCACTGCAACCAAGTGGAGGGCGTTTTAATTGATGGAAAACCGGTATGAAGGTATTTGAGGCTCTGAGCACAGTCTGACAAAGTCACCATGAGGTAAAAATAAATGTTATGTTTGAGGAGTGGAAAGCATGAAACTGGAATATAGGGGGAGACACAAGAAGTGGCTGGACATATCGGTCGTGGATGGACTGTGGTGCTTTTGCATGCACAGCTATGGTGCTATTAAATATGAAAATGAAGCCATTTATATATATATTTTTTTTTTAATTATTCTGGCAGAGGTGGGTTGGAAGCAGGGAAGATAAGTACAGAAAGAAATGATAAGCTGAGAGTGCTCAGCTCCATGAGTGCAGAAATATGTGATTTCTAACCTATTGTATCTCTCGTGGTGCCTGGTATACTTGTCCTTCACGGATTCTGTTATTCTCTGTTAAATGCTGACTACATAAACATCTTCCAATGAAAATGAACATATTTCTACATTTGCAACTTTTTCCTTTATAAAACTGACTTAAAAATCCTTAGTATAAAGGATGAAAAGAGTTTGTGTATTTTTTATCACAGTAGTGCACATATACACATGAGTGCATTCTCTCTCTCTCTCTCTCTCTCTCTCTCTCTCTCAGTGTACGCTTGAAATTAAACCTCAGATCCTGCGTCTGAAATTTATGCTTCAATTAAGATGGGGGCAGCTGCTACCCTACTTTATTTCCCTTTTGAGACTTTTTTTTTCTCTGGCTCTATCCTTCCCTTCATCATTTTATCATCACATCAATCACTGTATTTCCTCCTCAGGAACACAGCATGCATCGCAGGCACATTTTTATGGCTAGAAAGCAAACCTTGCTTACTTACCACATACTGCTTACATAAACCTAATTAAGTAATTCTGCTGAATGTATCACATCCTTTCATTGCAGTGCATGTGTGGTCAAAATAATAGGGGCACTTTAAGGATAGAGAAAATAACTGGAGAAAGGAGCCTAAAGAAGACACAAAACACAAAAAAAGTGAACGTCAGTTCAGCTTTTTTTTGATACAATCCTCTAATGAGCTGGGGCAAATTAACACCTCTGATAAAGGAATCTCCCAACTCACAGCATCATTTTTGTTTCAGTTATTTTACTGAAAATTACCATTGTTTTACAGATACTTAGTAGTACATCGGATTCAGTATATTTTGTATGATTGAGTGAGGTATTTTCATAGAAATTCTCTTACAGTCTGAAAATAATCCAAGAACTTCTTTCTAAGTGTGCAGACTTGGGGAAATGTGACATTATTCACTAAAATGTAATATGCTTGAAGTAAAGGCCTTTGTCTTTATTCCTTAAGACTTAACCCCAGGGCCTCCATACAAAGTCATATCTGGTAACTGACTGACAGAATGAATATCAAAACTTGTACTAACATCACAGTTCTATATATATATATATTTTAACTTTTAAGTTCAGGTGCACAAGTGCAGGTTTCTTACACAGGTAAACTTGTGTCATGGGGGATGTTGTTCAGATTATTTCATCACCCAGGTGTTAAGCCTAGTACCAGTAGGTTGCTTTTCCCAATTCTCTCCCTCGTCTCACCCCATCACACTCTGAAAGGTCCTATTGTGTGTTGTTCCCCTCTATGTGACCATGTGTTCTCATCATTAAGCTCCCACTTATACATGAGAACATAAGGTATATGGTTTTCTGTTGCTGTGTTAGTTTGCTAAGGATAATGGGCTCCAGCTTCATTCATGTCCCTGCAAAGAACATGATCTCTTCGTTTTTTTTATGGCTGCATAGTATTCCATGGTATGTATGTACTACATTTTCTTTATTCAGTCTATTATTGATGGACATTTAGGTTGATTCCATGTCTTTCCTATTTGGAATAGTGCTACAAGGATCGTATGTGTGCATGTGTCTTTATAATGGAATGATTTATATTTCTTTGAGCATATACCCAATGATGAGATTGCTGGGTTGAATGGTATTTCTGTCTTAAGGTCTTTGAGAAATTTCCACACTGTCTCCTGCAATGGCTAAACTTATTTAAACTTCCATCAACAGTGTATAAGCATTCTTTTTTCTCCACAACATTGCTAGCATCTGTTATATTTTTTACTTCATAGTAGCCATTCTGACTGGTCACAGTTCTATATTTTTAACAGAAGGAGTCATATCTCTCTCTTGTTGGTGGGACCAGTTGGTAAATAACACATTCTGTCCATTGTCAGATAAGGCTACTTTATCTTTTCATGATTAACTGAACTGCCATT